AAGTGGAAATGTATGTATTTTCTTTTTGGAATAGTCAAGAGAAATATATATGGGCTTATTTTTAAAAAGTAATCAGCCTATATAGAAGTATGTGGATTTTGACAAAACAACCAGTTTGAAGATATTGTCACCTAAATTAATGATTCATCCCTTCTTTTCAAAAAAGAGAAAAACGATTCATCTGAGTTTAAAGACTTTATTCCACTTTGATTTATTAATACACATATGTGAATTCAACTTAGGTGTTTTTGTTTCTGTCAAATTGTGTAATTAATCTTTATACATGGTTAAAATTGTGAATTAAATCATTATATAATAATTAATTTACAAAAATTGAATTGCTCGTTCCCTTTTATTTTTTAATAAAGTAATAATTCATTAAAATTGAGGAAATGGAAGATTCACCTCATATATACAAAAACTTACTCTAAACAACAATTTAGAGATATAAGGAGCTTAAATTGAAAGCATTAAGATGTGGAGAGGGTAATGTATTCTCCCGATGATTATATAACTATAGGGTACTCTTTTTCCCTTTCTATGGCTTTTTCTTAATGGGTTTCTTCATGGGAAGGTTTTTAACAAGGCTCTGAGTTAGGTATAAAGAGGGGGTCTAAGATACATATATATATATATATTTTATGTTAATTTATTAATTAAAAATTAAAAAACAATACTATTAAATTATGATTACGACAATATTAGTTTGATACTCTCATAGACAAAATCAATGTGTTTCATATTCATATTAAAATTGCTTTCAAAATGGCAACATTACTTTTTCATGTTCTTTTATTTTTTTTAATAATATTTTGCTGGGATTTGACCTTATGCTCAAACATGAAAATAATTAAGCAATTAAAATATAACGCAGTGGAATAATAAACTAGCATTTAATAAGAAAAGTAGTCGAATCCTACAAGATTAACGTTTGTGTTTTTCATGTAACTTTCAAATAACTTATAAGTTTAAAAGTTATATATCCTACTCTAGATATCATAATCAAGTGCCAATTAAATCCAAAAGGCTTGTGATGGAACAAAAACACGAAAAGAGAATAAGGCGGTTTGAAATCCTGCAATCGAAATTTTTGCTTCTTCACCTTTTGGATTTGTCAAATCTTCAGTTAGCCAAGTGTTTGCCCTCTTATGATAATCCACATAGTAACTAAATAAGACATTTTCAAAGGTAAGATTTTTTTTTATTTCTGTTAGCAAGTTTTGTTTCTAAAACCAAAAGAACCAAAAGTTCTTCTTATTTTTTGTCAAACGAAAAAAACTATTTTTTTTTCTTATTTTATGAAATGAATGAGAAGTGACTAGAAGCTTAGACTTTTAGTTTGCTAACATAATATATTTATATAGCCAAATTAAGTTATAACCGTAAATACAACAGTTGCAATTTAATTTAATTAAGTCTCTGTGAACTTAATTAATTTTTTACTTTATTTTGGTCTATTCTTATTAAGTCCAACGTAATTAATTATCCTTATTTAATCCCAATCATATCACTTAATGTATATGACCCATTAAGTTTTTAACATGTTGGCAATAAATGTAAATCTTAATCAAATATCAATTTGATAATTGATTTATATTTATAGATCGCGAGCAGTATCTAGCAATACATCATGACCACCTAAATGTTAGAGAGTCAATTAAAGAATTTAACAAAATCCTTCAGTGATAAGCCTCTCAGTACAATACGATCCTTTCATCAAATATCCGAGATATATCATTAAGAATGGCTCGGTGTGTACTTATGACATTTCATATTAGTTCTTATAATTTATGACTAACTTTATAAATTTAAGAAACTAAGTTTCCTCAAATTCATCATGCTTTGACCAAAGACTTTATACAAGTTAATCAATAATCGAGAACAAGTGAGATACATCCCCTCATATCACTTGAGGTAATAAATCCTCTTTTGACTACTCATTCACCTTTACATGCCTTATGACATACCCAAAAATATTCTGTTTAAGCATCTGGTCACCTTCAAACCTGTAAAGGTGAAATCAAAGTATGTCATTCCCCATACAAGATGACCTGGTGTCTTAAGTTTGAAGACTAGTTACATGACTTTCACACGAAAACATATTTCATAGACACTTGAGTGAAATTCCAAACGAAGTTCTTATAGTGGGTCATGTTTAGTGAACTTGTTCTTTAACAAACACCCACATGTTATTCTCAAGTATCTTATATACTTCAATTTATGAGATTGATTGCTTACTTCTTACGTAAAGAGGTTTAACATGTACTAGTTTTTGAGCATTGTCAATGCTTTATCTTGACAATATAATGACTAAGAACAATTTAAGGAATATGACTTTGATACATAATGATCTCATAATTGTAACAACCTTACAATTCTCATACAAGGCTTTTATATTTCATGGGCTTCATCCAATTAATACTTAATAACTCCTTATTATTGTACTAACATGAAGGAAAACCTCTATCACATATACTTTTGACATTAAATATAAATTAACTGACAATATATATCCCTTAACTAATCCAATTGGTTCAAGAGTATATACCAACTTATTTTACCAACCACAGTAAGCTTTGAGTAAAATTTATTTTCTTTGCTTAATTGTTGTTGACAGTAAAAGGTTTTTAATGCTTTCGTCACCTAACTACTTTGTAATCAATACACAGTAAATATATTTTATTTAAAGGTTGAAAAATATATATAAACATCAATAGTCAAGTGAAAATTTATATATTTTCTTTTCGTGATAGTCAACAGAAAAATATACACGTTTCCTTTTAATAGTTAATCGGATAATATAAAAGTACGAGGATTTTGACAAAACAACCCATTTGAAGATATCGTTCACTTAATTAACGATTCATCCCAATTTACAAAATTATTTTTCATTTAGATTAATTAAGGGTCAAAGTAATCAATTAGTCTCTGTACTATGGGATTTTTGACAATTTAATCCTTCTATCTTAAAATTGGTAAATTTAATCTCTTTACTATGAGATTTTGTATAATCGAGTTCCTCCCCTTGGCGCTATCTAATTTCATTGTTATTGTTATTGACATATTGCTAACGTGATGCTAATGTGTCAAACTTTTCAGGCATGGCGATGACATGGATCTAAAATGTTGACGTGGTAATGATGACATGGCATTGACATGCTGATGTGGCAATAATAACGTAATAGACTCAAAAATTTATTTAAACCACATCATTGGAATTAAATTGGACAAACTTTTAGAGTATACAACCTACATTGAACAAAATTCAATAATTCAAAAATTAAATTGAACAAAGATCTATAGTACAAGAACTACATTGGGTAATTTTAATTTTTTTTATTTAATATTGCAATTTTTTATTACATTTGTATGACTAAAAAATGAGTGAAAAGGTTGAACTTATATGTAAGGATTCATTTTCTTTGTTATATATGTTCATGAATCCTCCATTAACGTGATTATTCCTAGGAGATTGATTGATTGATTGATTTATTATTATTATTATTATTATCAATTGAATGTGACATTGTTACACTCAAATTTAAATCAATCAAGATTTAATAATATTTTACTATTAAAATAAATGGTAAAATATCCTCACCTTTTTAAGTTTTAATCCAAATTCCAAGCAAATTAATTAATTTTCAAAAAGATTCTCCATCTCAAAAAAGCAAATATCGTTAATGGAGATTAAGAAAAGACTAGAATGCACTTTTTTTATTAATTTTAAAAATTATTATTATATTTTTTAAAAAATTAAGAAAAAGGAGAGCACTAGTGCTTCCTTAGGGAACCTGATCGGGGCTCCCATCTAGGGAGGTTTTTCTAATTAATAAAAAAATTAATAAAATTATATAATAATAACTTTAAAATTTAATCAAGGGTAAAATTATTTTTTTTCTCTTGTCACGTTATCAAATTGACGAAAACACTAACTGTTGATTAACGGCTGAATCTAAGTGTTGAGTTGAAAAATAATTTTTTGAGGTGGAATATCTATTTTAAAAACTAATAAACTTCTGTATAGTTTCAATCAAAACTAAAGAGGATAAGGGTATTTTACCTTAGAATAAATGATGTAAATAGTGGTCTATGGGAAATTGGAGCATGAAACTTGACCTTTTGTTAATGCGTTGTTTTCCTCATTTTAGACTAATTCGCCATGCTCCATTCTAGTATAAAATAACTGTACATTGGCAACATTGATAGGGTCAGTTTATCTTAAAATAAATGATTCCCGGTAATTTGTTATTAAAGGGCGACGTGTGGAAAAAGTTTCCACTAGTTTTTGGATTGTTTGTCTAAATCTTACTCTATATATTAATTCTTGGTTTGCAATTAGGAGTTTCTAAATTAAGTTTAACTTTGATCATTTTATCGCAAGGTTATTAAATACCAATACTTAGATCTGTAATCAATATCATTAATATAACCCATTATAATCCATTGATTTTATTTTTTACTCTATAATCGATAAATATAAGTCACCAGGTTACCTTCTAATTAAAATTAAATTAAAAAAGAGAGGGCTAGACGGAAGGAGGACTCCCTTTCTCTTCTGCTTCTTCCTTATTTCTTCTTATTAAACTTTGCTATTCACAGGTGCACGCTCTTCCTCAGTCTTTCACGCCCCCAAGCACCCACTGCTCTTCCTCGATCTTCCATGCCCCGCGTCACGCCCCAAAGCACCCAATTCTCTTCCTCAGTTGATCTCCCACCCCCACCTTCACGCCCCAAAGCACCCGACCCTCTTCCTCAGTCTCCCACGCCAACCTTCGTGATTATTCTTTAAATGTCAATAAGTATAACTTCATTATACTTTAAATGGAAATAATTAAGATGGGCCGGAAAGTTGAAATTAACTTTCTTAAATTTTCAACGTAAACATGTAAGAATAAAAGGTAAAGAGTCTCATATCATTCATCTTAAAATAGAAATTTCGATATTTTATTTTATTTTTAATATTTTAAAGTAATTTGTATCTCTGAAATTAGCTACTACAAAATTATTATACAAAAGATATAATTTCACACAATAAAAATAAAATATTAATTCAAAAGAAATCAAATTTTTAAAATTTTTGAGAATAAGAATAAAAACATATAATATTTGATATAAAGCAGCTAAAATGTACGTAATTAACTTAAAATAAGTTATAATAATTTTTAATGTAGTGGAATGTAATAATAGGTATAGTTTAACGTAAATAAGTAAGATGCATCCTTAAAATTGAAACCAACCTTTCTAGGGTCTTAAAGAAAACGTACAAGCATAAAGGTAAAAAGTCATATCATTTATTGTAGAAAAGAAATTCATTATTTAGTTTTTCTTTTAAAAATATTTTTGAAGTAATTTGTATCCTTGAAACTAGGTGTCATGAATTCTTAAACCAAATATTAACTTCACACAATAAAATAAAATGTTAATATTAAAAAAATAATTTTTAAATTTTAACATTAATGTGTAAGAATAAAAATAAAAATACAAAAATCTTATGTAAAATGAGTAAAAAGTATCATAATCAACTTAAAATAAATTATAATAATTTTAAACAATTGAAAGGTAAAAACTGTAAATAAGTCAGATGCACCATAAAGTTCAAATTAGTTTTTTTTTTTTAAATCTTTCAAGTAAATGTGTAAAAAAAAAAGGTAAAAAGTTATACAATTTATTGTAAAATAAAAAAACAACGTTTCATTTTAAAAAATACTTTAAAATAATTTGTATATTCCTCAAATAAGCTACTTTAGAATCATTACATAGAAATTTTAATTTCACGCAGCAAAATAAAATGTTAATATTAAAAAAATATTTTTAAAAATTTTAATGTAAATGTGTGAAAGTAAGGATAAAAATACATAACATCTTACACAATTTGCTTAGAAAATATTCTAATCAACTTGAAACAAATTGTAATGATTTTATACCTGATAAAAGGTAAAAATAAGAATAACCTGATTATAGTTAACGTATATACATAAGATGTATGGTAAAGCTGAAATTAGTCTTTTTAAAATAGTAATGTGTAATGGGTGATAGAGGTAATGTTTGAGGTGGGAGCTAGGTCTACCTTCACACATAAACTTTACACTCATTTCCTGATTGAAGAAGCTTGTTTTACGATTCTTCCTTTGTGTACGTAACAAACCAAAACCTATGTGCACTATTTATAGAAGTGTTTAGAATATAGAGATAGTATATGTTTTTTAAATCTACATAAATTAAATTTAAATGTAATTAATTTTTATTTAAATTTAAATAAATTAAATTTAAATGTAATGGATTATTATGTAGATAATCTTCATTTAAATTTAAACAAATTAAATTTAAATTTATATCCTATTCCCAAAGTTTTTCAATTATTCAATTAAGAAATATAAGAACAATATTTAACATTAATTAAATATTTGCTAATTATTCACAAATAATTAACATAGTTGCATGCGATGTCGACGCACCACATCTCAATGCAACAGTATAATTACTTGCATTTTATGTTAACACCTGATCTATTTGAAAATTTAGAAATGATTTGATCTTCAATGGAAAAACATGGGATGTTATTCAATTGTTTGACATCATCATCAAGTTAAGTGTGGCTGTTCGGGCAAAGTCTAGGTGGCCACATATTAAGAACTCAATTGAGGATTTAATTAGGTATCCTGAAAATTTATCCAAGAATTTTGCAACGTGAAGAAAGATGATTAAGTGTTAAGTGGAATGGTCCACCACTGAGGTGGCTGAAATTTAATGTGGATGGAGCTCACTCAAGCAATTCTAGGCAAGCTGGCATTGGGGAGTCCTTCAAAATAACCTTGGTGTAATTAAAGCCAAATTCTCTAAGGCAGTTGGAATTGGTGATTCGAATTTGCCAGAATTATTGGCTATCCATGAAGCTTTTTTTGTTTTTGCTTTTTGTGTGCAATTTAATTCTATGAAATTACTGATTGAGAGTGACTCAATTAATGCAGTATTATGGTCTACTAGCCATGAGAATATAGACAGCTGATTAATAATTTGAAACGACTGCAAGAGAAAATCAATCATTGGAAAATCAGGTATGTCTTGCGTGAGGCCAGTGGTGTTGCTGGTGTTCTTGCAAAGGAGGGGATCCAAAGGAGTAGTGATTTATTAGAAGGTTATGAGTAGGAGCTTAAAGATGCTGAGGTGGAATTAAAGGTGGCGGACAATGTACAAGCCAGATTTGAGATGGAATAGGACTCAGTTTTTTATGAAACAGGGTGCTTGAGGGTGACGAAGTGTTTCAAGTTTGGAAAGAGTCCAAGCCGTGTAGTTGTGGGACATCCAATCCTGATAGGAGTCTTGAATTGAAGGAAAGAAAATCAGTATCGTGAGATTGGAGTTGTCGGGTAGTGAGGTTCTAGGAGAGTCTATCTCCAAGATTAATTCAAGGGATTTCCAAGTGAATTCGGATATATAGTATTTGGTCCAAGTTTTGGACATATTCATGGAGGTTATCATCACCACAGTTGCCGGTTAATGCTCGGACAGGACTTGTCGGGATTGGACGGTGGTATTCTGGAGAATGTCTACATGGGTAATGCTCTCTTGGACAAATGAATATGAGTTGATGGCTGTGCTGAGTATTTATTGCTGGACTTGGATAGTAAAGCAGCGTTTTGGACAGCACCTAAAGATTTCTTAGCTTTCTGGGGACATCATCAAAGGATTTAGAAGGAACATAGATTCGCCTGGACACATTAATGTGAATTAGATATTTTTCTGCTGTATTTGAGTATTTGGCGGGGGGTTGTTAGAATAAGGTATCCAATATCCCTAAAATTGGATTCTTGGAGCTTTGCTGTATTTGAGTATTTCTCATCTAATTTCATAAAGTCTAAAGTTATTTTGACTTTGACATTAAGTAATAAAATTATATATTTTTCAAAAAAAAATAGTAACGTGTAAAAATAAAGCTACCAAAAATTCTGACAAAAAAAATTCATGCAATTAAATAAAATTTTGATGTTAAAAAAAACTTTTTTAATTTTATCATAAACATGTGAGAATAAAGATAAAAATACTTAAATTTGATGTGAAATAGGTGAAACTGTTGTAATCAAATTAAAATAAATTACATTGATTTTAAATTTAATGAAAAGTAAGAATAAGTATAACTTGATTATAGTTTAATATAGATAGAAAACTTAAACTAAATTAATGCTGAGATATGAATAATTAAACTATAATCAAGGTTAATATAAATAGAAAACCTTTAAGTATCATAATCGGCTTAAAATAAATTGTGCTAATTATACATGTAAATAAATAAGATGTCAATGTAAGCTTCAAATTAGCCTTCATAAAAAACGTAAATGTTAAGAATAATGATACAAAATAAAGTTAAAAATTTTTATAAAATAAATAAAAACTAACATGAAGTTTAAATTGAAAAAATGTTATATACATAAATGATATAAATTATAAAAATATGCCATACGAAATATAAACTAGATAAGAAATGCCATAATTACATACAAATTTTAGGTCCATGTCAATTGTGTCCGCTGAAAAGGTATGATATTATTGTTGATAAATTAAATTTGTACTTAAACAAATAAATTTAATAGTATTTGCAAAAAAAATCAACTTCTAACCGTAATCTAATATAATCACACGAATTTAATTTATAATAGATGCAATTGCTATAATTATGTTAATAGAACAAATCTCCCGTGCACAAGGGGCCCGAGGTGATTCCTTAAAGCAGTATGTTTGAAATGGCTATAAAAATTGTTGGCTTTAAGCTATATGTTTATATACTAATTGGCTTATTAGTTTGTTTATTTAAATTTTTTTATATGAGTGGCAAAGAAATAAATAAAAAAATTACATCATTCTAGTCTAGGGAACTCCTAAATTATCAACAAGAAGACGTGTAAATATTCCATTTAGAGGAGACTCAAATATATGAACTCCCAAAGGCAAATCTTCATGATGTGTAGCTATCCAATCTATGCACTGATTTGCTTCATGATGAATGTGAGAAATTGAAACATCCCAATCCCTAAGAAGAACCTTTCCCTTGGAAGATTACCATTTGGATCAAGACTATTACCTTGACTGGCAATCTTCTATAGAGCTAACAAATGACTAGTTTGGGTCCAACTTGCAACCATAAATTTTTGGATGTCCCACAATCACGTAATGCATGCAGGATAGTCTCTAGTTCTTTATTGCATCGACGGCCAAAAATATGATTTTCCATATTCCTGGCTACTGGCCATGCTAAGTTTGATAGAGACTGATGTAGTAACCTCCAAATGAAGGCTTTTATTTTTTTAGGACTAGCTAACTTCCAGATAGATTTCCAATATGTTGACTTGGCCATAGAATTCTTGGTCTGTACTTCATACACTGTCTTAACCGAGAAATTCCCTGAGCCAGTTAGCATCCAATAACAGATGTTATCTTCTTCACTATACAGCTCAACTTGAATTGCCATAACCATTAATATAATATAGTGGGGAAGGACTTGTGACAATTGATCAACAGCCCAATTACTTGTTTTATCACAATAGCTAGCAACTGGGCGATCAGCCTTTATTTCAGATATATCTCCATTAGCAAAGTTAATCAAAGGACCACAAATCAGCCATGTGTCAACCCATAACTCTGTCTTCCCCTTTGAACTTTATTTATACATAAAGGAAGGAAAAGAGAAAAAAAAAAGTTCATAAGTCAATCCTAAATCCAAATTTCAAAATTAGATGCATTTATGATAATTCCTTGTTTTAGCTTAATATAGGCCTTGAAACTTATTTAGGCCTG